GTCCAAATTATTGTGACTCCTTGAACACTGTTTAGCACATGGATGATGCTAAACTGGATGAGCAGTCATGGCAAGGTAGCCTTCAAATTTAGGCCTGCAGAAAAGACAATCCTTTGTCAAGGTCTTACTCAGTAAGGGACATCTCCAAAGTTGACATGGATCACTTCAGATTTTTGGGCTACTGCCACTGCCTGGCCAGCTATAAGCAAAGGAGGAATCCAAAACCATTCCAGTCTGTTGACCACAGATGCAACTGAAAGGCAGATGCCTTGTAGTAAAGGTGATGCATATTACTGGCTCTTCAAATTATTTACTTCCACTTGCTACTGACAGCCCTGCAGAGGAGATTGATGGATTAAGCTTTCACCAACTGTTCCTCATCCAAGCACCTAATTCTCTGAGATGTTAGCACCAGAGATAAACTGTTTCCCTAGGAATTTCCAAAATGTTCCATATTTTCAAATATGTTCCAAGCCTGTAAGGAAAGTCAGGCTTGGTTGTTCTTCTGCAAAATAAGAAACTCATGAATTTCACTTGAAAAGATTAAAATGGCATTTCATCTGGCTCTTTTCTGAAGCAATTCTGAGCCCCCCTAAACTACCTGGGGCTTTGGAGGTGGGAGATATGGAGGAGGGAACAGAAGTCCAGAGGGAGCTGCTGAGGATTTGCAAGGTCCTGGGGTACTGCAGCTCCAGAGCAGTCAGTCCAAACCCAGGAACTCATCGTAGGCTGTTCAGATGCTAGAAACTTTGGATCTGTAGCATCTGAAGCTCAGTGCTTCCAGGCTCTGAATGCCCCATCTTTCTATTAGGTAGGCTGGGAAGGATCCCAGCAGAGAAGCATGCGGGAGACCTCGCCTTTTACTCAGAAATTAGCCAGTTTGATTTCTTTGTAGTTCAGATAGATAGGAACCTGTTATCATGGGGAATTTCACCTTTAGCAAACCAGTGTCTCTTGGCAGAAAATAGAAACTGCTGGCAGCCCTTCCTGGAGTCAGCAAGAGAATAGGGCGGTCCACAGACTACACCTGGGTGCTAGCCATATTCTGATATTGCCTTGGATCTTGAAAACCCCTTGTCTTCTCCTCCAGCAGCATCCCACGTGCCTTGAACAAGAAGATAGTGAGCTGTTATATTGAGAGATGGTGTTTGTAGTCAATATTTTGATTTTGTGGAGGAAAGTGGTTTAAAGAAATTTAGTCCTGCTCAAAATGGTGGTGGTGACTCCTTGGTTGCTTGCATTTGACAAGATTTTGGCAATAGGAAGGGAGATATTTCCCTGTGTGATTTGTAGTCTAAAAACTGCAGCCTTGAGCTGCTGTGCTGGGAAGCTGGGGCTTATCGGGCTTTGAGCCCTGTCCAGCTGGTGTGGAATGCAAAGAAGTGGATAGTGGAAATGCTGGCAAATAAATGAGATTTGATGAGGTCTTCCATTATCAGTAGTAATTTTTCACCAGCTAGATAGAAATACCTGGACTGGAAAAGATTTAGATTTTGAACCCTTTAAATTAAAAATAGTACTAAAATGTTTCTGTTCGTGCTGGACTTTATGAGAGGTAGAAGTAGGGGGAGAGCTGTGTTTCTTCTTTAGTGATGCACGTTCTCTCCTCTTACTCCTTGGTGTGAAGACTTTTAGGATGCACTTTTCTGTTTCAGTGATGTTGGGTATTATTAAGATTAGTGGGTTTGAAAACATATTTCATTATCTCTTAGGCACAGCTTGGGTGCTCTTCTAGCTCTTTCCCCGTTGACAAAACAAAACCTGTTGTTTTGAGAGTGCTCTGAAACTAGAGTGCTCTCACTTAAAAGGGCTGCCTACCTGCATTTGCCTGTGGAAAATGTCTGCCTGAGAGGAGACTGATCTGTTGAGGGACAAATGTAGGTTTTTTTAGCCTGAAGTAATTGATAAGGGACAGTTGTGTAACAAGAGGATGCTCCTGTCAGGACCTGCATGTGTATGGGGCCACCTGCAATGCTTAAACTGGGTGTCCTTCTCCTGAAATGCTTGAACTGGGTGTCCTTCTCTTTCCAGGTCTGGTGTGTCCTCTGGAGGTGTCAGTCAGTTCAGGGAATATCCAGGTTGCCCGAGGCCAGACAGCAGTATTGCCCTGCACCTTCACCACTAACGCTGCTCTCACTAACCTTAATGTCATCTGGATGGTCATTCCTCTTTCTAACGCCAACCAGCCTCAACAGGTAGGTACTTTCTTACCGGATCATGCATTTCTTTGGGGCTTTCCTTTTCCTCACCCTTTTCACGCTGATCTTGGATGTAGTCCCTTTACGATGCTGAGTCTCTGGTTGTCCCAGAACATTCCCTTCATCACAGAACACACCCTCTGGATCTTACACGACTCTGATTTCTTCAATGCCTTGTTAACTGATGCACAGTGTGTCCTTGGCTACCTTGGCTGGATGTGCGATTGGGGCAGGTGTATGTGCTACTGTGTGGCTGCCCGGGATCTCCGGTGGTTTGTGTGTTAAAAAAAGGACAGGAGATGTAATCCAGGTTTTGGTGTGCTGGATGTGGGATTTGGAGGATCTGTGAGCAGCTGCAGGCTTAAACCTGTGAAATCTATGTAAAAGGTGCCAGAACACATGGCCTCTCATAGACTCATCTCCCCTTTTACTTCCCCTCTTACTTTTTCACTGTTGGTTGCTCATGCAAGTCCATTCTTATGAACATTAGCGAACGAGAATCCGTTGTAGTGCACACTAGAATCATAACCTGAGATCTGCTGACCTGATTTTTTGCCCACATACTCCGACAGCAAAAGAATGTCATTGCTCTGAAATGCATCTGTCTTGGGTCACACTGCCCCCATCCCATTTGGTATAAAGTTATGAGAACCTGCAATGAAGAGTACTTGCTCCTCAGGGACTTGGTCTGAGCACAGACTGCTATATAAGCCACCTGACTGGTAGAGGCAATGCAGGTTCAAGGGTTGCATTGCCTGTCACTCAGTTCATCCCAATGACCTTCAGTAAACAGTGTCAGATCATGGCAGGATCTTACTGGCTGACACTCAAAATGATACTGTCCACTGAGTGGATGCTTTCCAGCAAAGTACTCACTGACCCGCAGAGTCTCTGTCTCTCTACATCCATCCTGTCCAGATGGGTAATAATTATTACATGAAGCAGGCTGGCAGTGCCAGTCCAGCTGTGCCAGAAGACTTGAGTATCTGTCCAGTCTGTTACCTCTGTGAATGTTTTTACTGACATAAAACAGGCTACAGAGTGTGTTCCTCTTTTAGAGAGAACACCTCTGATAGGACAGGTCTATCTCGGACAACTGTATACCGAGGTCTGATTTTTTAGAGATGCTTTAGGAACTGGTCCTTTCGGCTCTGGAAGCCCATGTTTTGTTTGCCGTTCTTCCTCCTTGCTCAGCTCCTGAAGAGTGTTGTTTGAGCCTTCCTTTCTTTTCCAGGTTATTCTCTACCAAGGGGGTCAGATCTTCGGTGGTGCACCCCAGTTCTACGGGCGAGTGGGGTTTGCTGTGACAATGCCAACCACCAGTGCCTCCATCTTCATCAACAACACTCAGCTATCGGATACTGGCACATACCAGTGTTTGGTCAACAATCTTCCCGACCGAGGCGTCAGGAATATTGGAGTCATTGGACTTACTGTCTTAGGTGTGTTTATTGGGATTATGGGGGAGAGGAGAGGAACAGGGACAAGGGGATCCTCTGTGCATGATAGTGCATCATAGCAGAGCAATATGGTCATGTATGCATTGGAGCCCACGGACATCCTGTGGTGAGGGATGGGCTGCCTTGCGGGTATTGTGGGAGTTTGTAGGGCACATAGACTTCATATGCAGGTGACGTGTAATGGAGTTTTAAAATATTGTGGAGATAACTTCCTTGTGGCAGCGTTGTGATGTGGAGTTGGAAAGAAGCATGAATAGAGTGCTAGGGCATCCTAGAGAGCTGAAGGGATTGTAAGAGTTTGGTGCATAGCAACAGGAGAAGAGGATGACTTTAGATCTTTGCTGCGTTTTCATGAAAGCGATTAGTACTGGATGGTACCCAGGACACGAAATACTCCAGAGGTTGTGCCATTGTAGGGATATGAAATAAAAACCCAACCACAGCAAATTCTTTCTGCAGCTCTGTTAGCTCTCACCGCCTTTGCTGTCTCAAACGCAGAAATGTTCGCCACCTTTTTCTCTAGGGAGGGAATCTAAGAGTACTGAGTCCTGTGAAAGTCAGCAGTAGTCTGTAACCGTGATGGGCTGGTGGGTCAGGAATCTTTGTGAACTGTCCCCCCTCAAACCTTCATGGGTTTTTGTCTGCTGCCTTCCTCTTGTCGGCTCATGCCAGTGTCCTTGCTTTCCCCCAGCAACGCGTGTCCAGAAAGAGCCTGCACTCCACTGTTGGGTCTTATTTCCTGATCTGCTGTCGCTTTCCCCTCTTCTCTCGCAGTTCCTCCTTCTGCCCCGCTTTGCAGAATCCAGGGGTCCCTGGACGTGGGCAGCGATATCACACTGACCTGCAGCTCGGAAGAAGGCATCCCCCGGCCGACATACCTCTGGGAGAAACTGGACAATGTTCCCAAGTTGCCCCCAACTGCCACACAAGGTGCTTGTTCTGTTGATTATCCTCTTATTTCCTCGGCTTTCCTTTGTCTGAGCTTCCAGAGGTGGCATGGCTCACTGAGCGTCTGCCATCACTTGCATGGTCACTTTGTTGGAATGAAGATTCCTAGAGCCCATGGTGGACCAGGCACCCTCCAGCGGCCACTTAAATTTTCATGTTTTTTGGTGCAGTAACATGTTCCCCATTGAGGAACAAGGGTCTGGTCGAATGGGAGAGAGACAACATGGTTGCCAGATGTTGACATGTGGCTGGAGCTTTCAGCTGCCGATTCACCTGCATTTTAAACCAAATGAGAGGCTCATAGATTGGAAACTGAGAGAAGGCAGGCAGAATCATCCCAGGAAAGTAATGCCAGCTTCTCGCACTGAGGTCACTGTTGTCCAATAAGCTACTGCCAGAGCCACCTGTCAGACGTATGTAAAAGGAAGCTCTGATCAGGCTGGGTATTGCCTAGCCTCAAGTCCCACCCATAAAATTTCTTAGCCTAGGTGTCCTGACCAAGTAGTGGTATCTGTACTTTTGCCCTTCATCTTGCTGTGTTTTAAGAATACGCAAGCATTTAAGTTTTACAGAATTCAGGAATGAGGAAAATTGGCAGAGCCAGGGGGTGAGGAACCCGGGGAGGGGAGAGCAGGACTTCTGCAGGGCAGGATTGAATTTAGCAGGTAGATCTGGGTATAGGTAATTGCACATCTCTTCTTTCCTCCCTTTTCTCACACAATGCTGAGGGTCCCAAGCTTTCATTTGCAGAAATTCATCTATAAGAAGTAACATCTATTGTAAGCTCCTTAAGACGTAATCTTGTGTGTGCGTGTGCAATGCTTCCATCTCAAGGTTATTTCCTAATTTATTTCTCTCTTAAGAGTCTCACACCAAAATTCTCTATTTGCTGGCTTTGCCCTTTCATGGTTTTCCTTAAGGGGGGGAGGGATTTAAATCCTTCTTTTCTCTCTGACTAGACCAAGTCCAGGGCACTGTCACTCTCCGAAATATCAGCACTGTGTCCTCAGGTCTTTACCAATGTGTGGCTTCAAATGCCATTGGAACCAGCACTTGCCTTCTGGACCTGCAAGTCATTGCGCGTAAGTATTTTGCCAAGGGAGCCTTGGCCACCTGCTTCTATCTTGTGACAGTAAAGTCTGTAACCATGTTTGCTGTGAGCCACCATGTGCCTCTCTATCAGAAGATCATCGTGCCCTGGAATGGGGACGTTGCCTTTCCCCCCTCCCAAGCCATGGTAGCTTCAAATGCTCATGGACAGCCACAGCCCAGCTCTGATTTCTTCTCCATTCTCTGTTCAATCATCCCCACAGCCCACCCCCGGAGCATTGGCCTGATTGCAGGAGCGGTGGCCACAGGTGCCGTTGTGCTTGTCATTTGCATTGTCTTGGTGGCCGTGGCACTGTTTTACTGGAAAAATAAACACAAAGAAGAAGAAGAAGAGGAGATTCCCAATGAGATAAGGTAAGAGTCAGGGAAAGCTGGTGGCAGGGGACCTCTGACCACCCAAAAAAAGCAGAGGCTGGCAGGAAGGCAATCAGAAATCTCACTCTTGCTAATCCTGGCTGTGTTCTCCTGGGTCAGGGGAAAATGTCCATGTATGTCCAGAAAACGGAGAGAGCAAATGAAGAATGGTAACAACAGAACTTCTTTTCAGTATTGCTTTTATTGAGAGCTTTGGCTTGACATTGTAGCTCCGTAGGAGAGTGACATGGTGAGGATCCTGACCCACGATACCAGATAGTGATAGCGAAAAAGCTCTGGATATACAACTGTGATCTTCCCTGCTGTTACAGCTGCAGTGCTTCCCTCTGGTAGCTTCCTGCAGCTCTCCTGAGTATCAGCTTCATTGGTTGTACAGTCATACTGACTGTCTGTGAAGTATCAGTGGCTGTGACAACCACTGGACACATGAGTGTGGGTCATTTGTCCCAGCGGTAGGCACATGAAGCAATTAATGTGTACAGAAGCAGCTCCTGCAAAGAGCGATGAGCATACAGGGTGTGCCATCCCTGGAAGTGTTCAAGGCCAGGTTGGATGAGGCTTTGAGCAACCTGGTGTAGTGGAGGGTGTCCCTGCCCATGGCAGGGGGGTTGGAACTAGATGATCTTTGAGGTCCCTTCCAACCTGAACCATTCTAGGATTCTGTTCTATGATACGGGCTAAGGAGCAATGCTGGTCCACATTGGTGCTGTCCTTCACCTTGAATTGATGGTGTTGACCCCAGTAGAGTTTGGCGGGGGGATGTTGGGCAAGCAGGGCAGCATCCTCCCCTCACCCTCTTTCCTTCCCAGGGAAGACGACCTGCCACCCAAATGCTCCTCTGCCGCAAAGACATTCCACGCCGACGCGTCCTCGTCGGAGAACGACACCCTCACCTCCTCCAACACCTACAACAGCCGCTACTGGAATGACCCCAAAGCCAACCACGCCACGGACTCCTTCACCCGCTTCAGCAACAGCAACGATGCCCACCAGCCCCCTTTCTCCCGCTCAGGGAGCACGAGCACCCGCCCCGTCT